TCTCTCAAAGGGTGTCGAAAAAAGTTGCGTTCATACAGACGGACAGGCGGACGGATGAACAAATGGACGGACAGCAGGACGGACATTGCACAAGACCAATATACTATATAATAAATATAAATAGTAAATTTGATACGCCTACTTCATTTATGTTCAGTACTTTGTGCATACCTTGCTGGCCTCTTCGTCAATAGACCCCTCTGGCTCAATTTGTGCACACAGGGTATGCAATTAAGAAAAGCGCCTTACTTTTCTTGGTACACTGCCAGAAAATGTTCCGTTCCCGCTCGAGTGCACTCAGAGACGCTGTTCATTGTTTGCCTGCTGTGCTGCTGTGTTTCCACAAATGGCATGCAACGCCCCTTAAAGAAGCGCAATCAGAACCCGATTTAAATGCAGATGCAGAAGCTGGACAAACTTTTTATTAAAATGGGGAGACAAGTTTTGACTGTGAATGCTGTTGAAGTTCTCCGAAATCTGCTGCTGCTGCTGCTGCTGCTGCTGCTGTTGTTGTCTTTGCTTGCCAATCGTCGAGGCAATTAGTTAAATTTATTATTTGAGCAGGCACCGCAACCGCAGCAGTAGCATCAGCAGCAGAGACCACTAAATCCAAAGCCAAAGCCAAACCAGAAGCCATGTGTCAACAGCAAAGCAGATTCCATTTGTCTCCAGGCGCGGGGATTAATGACAAACAACCAGTCGGGAGGCCAACAAGACTGCCTCAATTTGCCAGGACATGCATGAAAATTGTCAATGTACCAGCCAACTAACCCCTTCCCCCCTTCCCCCCTTTCCCCCTTTCCCAACCCAACACTCTTCCCCGAGACCAAACATGCAAATATGTGGCTTTAAGGATACGCGCTGGAAGCTAAACTTTTATGCAAGGCATATAAAATAATACAAAAAAATGTATGTAAAATAAAAATAAATATTTATTAATGCATTTTTCATGCAGCTCAATTTGCAATTGGTTTTTTATGTTTGCAGCTTTTTTTCTGCGTAACTTTGCTGGGTTTGGGTGTGTGAGTGTGAGTGTGTCGGGCATTGGTGAATGCATTCAACATTCAACATTCAACTATAAATTGCGCATCATAAATCAAAGGGGAGACTTCAATTAATGCTTCAATAGAACCAACGATAATTCATTACTAATTTATCTTCACAAACACAAACAGTTCTCTGCATTAATTACAATGCAATTACTTATACACACATTGTGTTATATATGACCATAATTAGCTGCTCACTGTTTATGTGTAAGTGTATGTGTGTGTGTGTGTGTGTGTGTGTGTGTGTGTGTGTGTTGGGCGGGTGGAGGAGGGGGGCGTGGTAATTAACATTTACATGTGCTACTTATCAAAGCAAAACAAAAGAGCGCATATACCTGATTATTAATAACTTGTTAACAGCCAGCTGGCCAGGTGATAAGTCAATGTGCTGCAGTTAAACTTCAATTAGGACTCAGTATAAAGTATATTTTATTTTCAAGCCATAGAGTTATTGTCATTAAGTCAGTTGTCCTTTTGGCTTTGAGATTGTCATACTATAGTCACTAACTATAGTAGCAATAATATACAATAAAAAATTAAGTAAAATAAAATAAATTTAAAAAAAAATATAACAATTGACATATCCAATAATAGTATAATTTGTTTAAATTGAAAACATATTGATAGAGTAAATTAAATTAAAAACTATTTAATAATTAATTCCTTAATTCAATCAATCGATCCTTTATTCAACTCTTATAGTTTTTCTAATTTTCCCTTACATAAACTTAAATTGCAGAATATATTTCTTAATACAAACAGCTTTTACTTTTTTTTAGTATCTTATCCAAATCAATCTTGTTAAAGTTTTAATATTAACTATTTTATTGTGCTGCAAATTCACTTTTTATCTTTTACCAGAAGCTTATTATTGAGTTTATGAGATTAATAAACGACGCAGCCATTAATAAATAAAGTTATATAGACAATCAAATAAACTCAATGGGTTGTATAATTGAAATGGTGTTCAATTTATAAAAATCAAATATTTAAACGTTAAATACCATCAATTCGTAATTTGTACATATTGTTCAAGTTATAACTCAATCACTTTCAATATATATTAATGTTGCCTTTACAACATATTCAAATGCAAGTTTTAAAATGTTTCTGAACACAATCAAGAAGTAAATAAAATGAAAAACAGTTTTTATTAGCAATGCAGGCACATTTTGTAAAGAATAAATTGAAACAGTTTCATTGTGTGTAGAAGTTAGTAAGCACGTGTTTATTATTTGTGTATTATGCGGGATCATACAGTGATCAATCACAAAACCAATTTGCACTCAAGTTATTTTATTAGCACAAAACTTTTAGCAACGTTTTTGTTTTTTTTTTTTTTTTGGTTTTGGCGAACTCAGCAAAACAAGCTACTCACCCAATGAAATGTACACATTTGGGTGTCGGAAGTTGACGGGTTTTATTGTGATGACATATCAGTGGATCTCGTGCATTGGACATCAGATGTTGGACTGCAGGCATCGTTAAAGCCAAAAGCACGTCTTTTGTTTACAACTAGAAATGGGCGGCCATTGATGATGATGCTGGGTCAGTCCCAAATGGCCGTTATCCAAGCCCAAGCTGGCAGATCGTAAAAGGCGAGAGCACGATAAAAACAAATCCCAACATCAAAAGCTGGCACGGCACAACAACTGCATCAGCGACGCCAGGTCCAAGTTGAATGAGCGCCAGCAAAGCACGCGTCTGCATGTGGAGGCGTTAAGGCGAACACACGTTTCGATAGCCGCTGGAAGCCATTTGGATTGCGTTTCCACGTTCCCCAATGGAACCCAAAAAAAAAAAACAAAAAACACACACACAGAGAGAGCGAGAGAGAAAGTGATGCCGAGAGAGTCAGGAGTCAGCAGGCAGCGACCAGCATCCCAAGTGCAGGCAACCCAAGCAAGGTAGACCAGCAATGCGAGATGCGCATGCGCCTGCATCCAATGGATGCTGGACACGACTTGCAATCGCTGTTCAGGCACACTGAGGAACGTATTCAGGCGAGGTGAAATCTATAGCAGTTACACTATGCTATTTTATGCTCAAGGCGGCTGCAGCGCATCGACGAGCGTCACTTTTGCCATTTTCAATGGCGGGGTTGAAAGTGTCCGCAAAACAACCCTTAATGTTGGGCAGAGAGCAGAGCAGAGCAGAGCAGGCCAGAGCAGAGCAGAGCAGAGCAGAGAAATGATGCTCAGTCTCTGGCTTCCAATCGACTTTTACCGGGTGGGTTGTGTTGTGCTAGCCCACACAAAAAAATCAATAATGTCGACGTCCATGTTGGTCCCCCAACTCCGGAAGCCCGCTCCCCCTGACTAGGCAGACAATGAAATGAAATGATGAAGCCAACGCCGTCAACGCTTGTAGCAGTGCACGTGTTGTCTCCGTTCCTGTGCCCAGACACCAACTACAGACTCCCAGCACACAGCGCCCAGCACCCACCTCCCACCTCCAGGTCCAGCTGGGGTGTGCGTGTGTGCGCTTAGCGGCAACAACGCCAATTACAATATAGACAGACATTTAGTGTAGGATTGCATTTAGGAATTGTGGCTGCCCCAAGGAAAACACATGTGCAAAAAATGACTATGAAAAATTGTCCAAATGTATTTAGCAACGAGTTTCTAATGGAAACAATTAAGTCATTAGCAAGTGCTGATTTTGATGATGACTGCCCCCAGTGGGAGAGACAGGTGGTGGTGGAGGGGGAGCGGAAGGGGAGTGGAGGGATGGAGGGATGGAGGGATAGAGTCTGCTAAACTAATGTGCCAGGCCTTAATAGAGTTGGTGTCCACAGAGACATCGCTCATGTGGTTAACTGCTCGGCACATGGCACATGGCACAAGGCACCCACATGGACCACGTGCTTAGTACTGTAAATACATATATATATTGTGTATATGCATATTTATATATATCCCAACTCATGTGTGGCCATAGTTTAGTCCCAAGTAGCCGCAAGAGTGGCACCAACAGAGCGACGGCTCTTTTCGGGTTTGCCTTTACAAATGCCTCACATTTTTCTCAATTACAATGAACAACTTACTTTCTGATGTGTGTGAGTGTGTGTGTGTGTGTGTGTGTGAGTGTGCGGTTGGTTGTGTATGGGTATCAAGAGGTGAATTGAAGTCCATTTTTAACCATGATTGAAGAGTTAAATGTTGTGGCAGTTTGAACAGCTTACCATAAATGCGATCTCTCTCAGAAGTGAATACCTTTTTTGTAAGCCGTTTGGTTAGTTGGGAATTTGAAGTATTTCAAATGCGTCTCTTACAATTTGATTAAAATTAATGTTTAAACTCATTTTTAACCATTTTGCTTAAGACCCTTTTTGCAAATTGTATTATACATACTAGTTAATAATCGACTTCAAGGACAAAACTTTTATAAATATTTATCGAATTATTAAATTTGAAAAATAAAGTGTAAGATTCAAATTATTACTTTTTCTAATAATATAAAATTCGATGAGTATTTATAAACTTCGAAATCCAATTTTTCAAATGCAGACAAACTGATTTCTTTATTTCTCGGAATAAAAATCTTAATAAAAAAAAGAAATAAAAAAGCTGAATGAAATGCTGAATGAATGCTACTCTGAAAAACTAGCTAGTGATTACTGACTGATAAGACTGATAAGGCCGTATGTCAACGCATTTATAACCAAATAGATAAGCAAATATATGATTGGAATCAAACGGCAAACATATTGATAACACCTTCTGATTTGAAGTTTGGCTTACCTTTTTATGCCCCATCGAATATCCCAGAACAGACCCTTGCTTATCTTTATGACGACTGTGTAAACATCCCTCAGAACATGCCCCACATGTACTTATCTATATAAGTATAAATTATCTCGAATCGAGAAGGAAACACATATTACTATATGATGATATACATGTGTGTGTGTACATATATATATATATATATATATATATATGTGTGTGTGTGTGTGTGTTTATTTATGTATACTGAAAACGCAACGATGGGAAGCGAGTTCTCAAGGCACAAACATTCAAACGCTTAAAGTGAATCGGAATCAGAGTTAATTGAATGAATCATTAATAATAAGAGAACTACAGACCGCATCCGAGTGGAAGCTGCGGCCAGACATACAAAACATATAGCATATATAGCATATGGAGAACATAATACCAAACAATTGCCGAAAAAATTAATATATAAATTCAAGTCTTCTTCTTCTTTGTGTGTGTGTGTGTGTGTGGGGGGGTGTGCGTGTGTGGGAAAGCAGCGGGCACACCTCCTACGATGAGGATGAGGGCACCGGAATGACGGTCTGGAAGAGATACAGCCGAGCATCGGCATGTCCCAGCTTGTTGGTGGCATTGCAGTAGTAGTCGCCGAAGTCCTCCTCCGATACGCTGGCGATGCGCAACACCGACGTGGTCGTCTCCGAGGATGAGGCCGTGTTGGAGATCTCGTAGTGTCGACTCGATTGCAGCTGCGCCCCATTCCTGAACCACACCACAGTTGGCGACGGATAGCCCTGAACGCTGCACTCGAGATCCACCAAATGGGACAGCATCTGCGCCACCTTGGGTCGCTGCACAGCGATCTGGGGCCGGAACTCGACCTCGACACGGATCAGTCGCCGGTCCGGCTGGCCCTCGCCGTTCTGGGCAATGCAATAGTAGCCGCCGCGATCCACACGATGTATCGCCCTGATCCTCAGCGTCGGTTCGTTCAGCAGATGGCCACCCGCTGGCATTATGGCATTCTGTTCGCGTGCCCAGGATATGGTGGGTGCGGGAAATCCGCTGGCATGACACGATATCTCCAGATTCTGTCCCTCCGTGACCAGCATGCTCTTTGGCGTCAGCTCAGAGATTACCGGCGGCGTCTTGATGAGCAGATTGAGCTTCTTGGTCACCTTGCCGGTGGCGGAGACAATCACCTGGCACTCATACGGACCCATATCGCTCGCCTCGATCTGGCGTATGCGAAAGCTATAAACGGCACTGTCCTTGCCAGCATTCTCGTGCACACTGACATTGTAGCGCTGATCGGGCAGACTGAGCATGTTGCGCATGCTGAGCACCACGGCCGAGTTGGGATCCGTTTTGGCCCAACTGACAGTCAATTGACCCACATGTTCCACGGTGCAGTTGAATTCGACGCTGTCGCCCACACTCGCCACCACATCCTGGCTAATGTGGCTGATAACTGGTGCTGTGGCAGCCGTAAGTGATATGCCACTGAGCAACAGCAGCGACCACAAAAATACCAGCTGCAAGTCACTCTTCCTCATTCTCCTCATGCTGCTGCTGATAATGTGGCCAATGTGATGATTCGATTAGCTCGATGGAGAGTTCAATGCGCTGCTTGCTGCTTGCTGCTTGATGCTTGCTGCTTATTGCTTGGCTTGCGTTTATTCGGCAAGAGTTGTTTGCTTCACGTTCGATGCGCGACTGACTTCGAACTTAAAATCGCCGCTCAAAAACACAGCGTGGGCTGCTCGCAGCGACGTTGACGTTGACGTCGCCGACGCTGTCGCTGTCGCTGTCAGCGCTGACGTTGACCGATCGTTATGTTGATGTTATTGTTATCTGTTCAAAACAGAAGAAGACACCGAAAAATCATTGCGTCTATCGCTTCCTCTCTGTTTCTATTCTCTTTTGTTTACTTTCGCGCACTGTCTGCGAGAGCAGTTGAGTTGTCGCTGTTGTTGTTGTTGCTTGACTTATCAATGAGTTTAACTTTGGTGCACTCTTCGGCTTGAAATTGATTTGTTTTGCTGCGACTGCTGCGAAGGCGACTGCGACGCGACTGCGATGGCGATGGCAGCGTTGTCCGTTTTGAGTCGCGACTCGCCGTGTTCAGCTAGACAAAGCTGAAGGCAAATTTAAATTTGTGACGCCATTTGCCCCTGAAATACCGTTTTGAAGTTCGTGGAAAGGTGCTGCACGCACACACACACACACACACACACATGCACACACATGCACACGTACACACATTATGCATACGTTGATTTATGGCATGGCGCAGGGAACAAAGGACGAGACGTCTTCTGCTGGAATAACCTTTCGCCCGGGGGAAATGCCAATGCCAGGACACGATCCTGTTTGGCCAGCATATGCATGCCATCTCCTTCGCACTCACATTTACAGGGGCGCTTGCGTGAAAACAACACACACAAAAAAAGGGGGTGAAAGATTGAAACGCTGAAACGCTTCAGAACTGAAAATGCTGATGATGATAGTATTCAAATAATATAATATATATAATCTAAATATAATTAATATTTTATATAAATAGTATAGTATTAATATAATATAATATATATAATATAAATATAATTAATATTTTATATAAATTGATCTAAGTATTTTTGGTCATTCAAAATACATTTGAATATCAACAAAGTTGAAATTTCTTAATCTAAACATAAACAAAATCTGAAATTGTTATAAAGTTGATGAAGAATTGTAGAAAAGATTTTCAATTATTTTGCATAGAAGTTAAGAAATTGTTTGGAAATTACAATCGATTTTATTATTTAGCTAAAATACCTTTTAAAACTAATAAAATTATATTTTGCTGAATGAAGAATTATAATAAACGTTTTAAGAAATTTAATAAAAATTACAATCACTAATCGAAATTTATATTGAATTCAAATACATTTTTAAAATTTTTATTAGAATCATCTCTGGAATCGAAACATTTAAAATTGCTAATACGTTTTAAGAGAATTATAATTCATGTACTTTGAACATGGAAAGTTTTCTAGTTTTTCCAGCTTAAAGCAGTTGTCATAAATACTCATCCAATTCTTGCTAGGATTTTCCTTTTTTGGTTTTTCCAATATTTCATGGATTATGCACTTAAACTTGACTCTTTTTGCGTGTCTGTGTGGATTGAGGGAGTCGAGGCAGAAAACTATATGGGGATAATTCCTGAAAAATCGACTCGCACAACGACAGCAAATTAAATCAGACCTTAAAACGTGACTGTCAGTTCCGTCGAAATGCGGCGGATATGACAAAGGCGGAGTCGCAGTCGGGAGTCTGGAGTCTGGAGTCAGAATCGGAATCGGAGTTGGGAGTTGCAAGTTGAAAGTTGGTAGCAGATTAAACTGCATCCGATGCTCTGTGCTCAGTGCTCAGTGTTCGGTGTTCGGTGTTCAGTGCAGAGTGCACATTTGAATCAGATAATTGTAAATTGTGTAAAATAATAAATTTCAAGTTAACTATCTGTGTGGACCGCATAGGGTGCGTCTATTCATTTCGTTTGCCACAGTGCCCCCGCTGTGGCAGACAGAGACAGCCAGAGCAGAGAGCACAGAGCATAGAGCACCGAGAAGTGCTCACAATCGTGGCCCATCTAAAGAACAGTTGCAGTCCCACTACCAGTTCCAGTTCCAGTTGCAGTTGCAGTTGCAGCTACAGTTGAGGTCCAGCTATTTGGCTATTCATCGATGCTCGACAAAACTTGCATCGCCTGCATATGTGTGTATATATAATGTGTATATGTTTATATATATATATATATACATATATAAATATAAAAAGAGAGAGAGAGAGGTGCAGAACAGGGCTGACTGGCTGGCTGACTGACTGGCTGGCTGGCTGACTGTCTGGCAGTGTTCACGTTCACGAGCACAAGCGGATCTGAAACAGAAAATGTCAAAATTTGTAATTTATTACCCGAATCCTGTTTCTGTCAGTGAGTCTTTCGGGTGTCTCGCTTCGGCAGTGCGCAGGGACTGTTGCCATAGTCCTTTGTCACACACTGCGTGTGAATTTGTGGCCCACTCTGTATGTGTGAGTGTGTGTGTGTGTGTGTTTGGATGTATCCTTTGCGCCCTGTTTTGTTTGTTTGTTTTTTGGCTCGCTGCCTGAATACTGTGAATTGACTTTGGCTGCCAGTTGGCACAATTACAACAACAAACAGCTTTTGCCATCCAAAGTCAACACAACAATGATCGGTTACATATTTGCTAAACGGTATTAGCACATTTCACTCTGCTCCATAAATAAAAAAAAAAGTTACCATTTATTGATTGAATGCCTTCAACAATGTTGAAAAAGTAAATAAACATTTAAAAAAAAAAAAAATATGTTCGCAGAATATGCATTTAAGGGATATATTGAAAGTTCAAAACAAACATTTTGAAGTACTTGATAATTACAAAGAAAAAATTATGCAACTGCAATTCTTTCAAATTTCTATAAGCAAATATAAATGAATGATAAAGCATTAAAATTAAATAATATAATATATATCACTCACACATTAACAAATAAATATAATTTAACAAAAATGATATATTCTAAAATGCTCAAATTGGAAATCTTTGCGCCAAATTCTGATATTTCACACTGGCGTCATCTGTTAAATATACTCATGACTAAATTTACAGACGACAGTCTGGTAGCACTATGCGCTTGCCGGCGCCACCTAGCGACACTTAACACACACTTAAATGGCGTTACCAGATGTGCGCATTTAGTCAGTTATTTAAACAATCTGGCACTGTTTTGCATATTCTGTTTTGAATTGTTGTTCTTTAGCTTGAAATAACGGCGCTTTGCAGACGCGATGTAAATGAAAGAAAAATGTGGAAATAATAAATTAGCGTTCTTCAAATGTAACCGGTTACAATTCGCATGCAAATGAAAACTGAATTTCTCAAGTGAAACCCGCCGAATAAAAGAAAAAGCAAAAAGTGCGCGGCGGAGCTAGTTGTGGAAAATGGCGCAACCCCCGCCGGATCAGAATTTTTACCACCACACACTGCCACATCCGCACACGCATCCGCATCCACACACACACCCACACACACACGCACAGCATCCACAGCTGCAGTTGCCGCCACAGTTTCGCAATCCCTTCGATTTAGTAAGTGCATAGAATAAACAACGACAATTATCATTTTCTGGCTCACCATTTCCCATTCCATTTCCATTTCAAAAGCTATTCGATGAACGCACGGGCGCCATCAACTACAACTACATTCGTCCCTATCTGCCCAACCAGATGCCAAAGCCAGGCAAGTAATAATATCAATTTGTGTGCATGTGTGCAACTTATAGATATGCAAGTGTGTACGCATGCTCGCAAGTAAATACGGATACAGTGCACACTCAATATAACGAACTAATTACAGTTTAGTAATTAGTTTAATTTAGCGTTACAGAAAAAGTCTGTTTTATTCAATGTATTTTTCGTCTCTTAATCTCTGTCCTTATGCATATTTCTCTCTCTCTCTCTCACGCTAGTGATTTCTCCATTAATGCATTACTCTCTATCTTTCTTCCTCTCTATGCATTTCACTCTATCGCTCTCTTTATGTTTCGCTCCGTTTTTCTCTCTCTCTCTCTCTCTCTTCCTTTCTCTGTTTCTTTCTCTCTTTATCCACATATCTCTCTCCCTCTGTCTCTCTCGTAAATCTCTTTCTTTATCTCCTTATGCATATCTCCATCTCGCTCTGTCTCTTTTTATGTATATCTCGGTCTCTCTCTAGCTCTCCCATTCCTTATGCATATCTATCCCTCTCTGTCTCTCTCTCTCTCCCCCCTTTATGCATATATATCCCTCTCTCTCTTTATGCATATGTATCCCTCTCTCTCTCTCTTTATGCGTATATATGCCTCTCTCTCTTTAAGCATCTATATCCCTCTCTCTCTCTTTATGCATAACTCTCTCTTCCTCTCTCGACATCTCTCACTCTCTCTCGTTATATATATCTCTTTTTCTTTCTCTTATATACATATCCCTCTCTCTCTCGCTCTCTATCTCTCTCTGTCTCTGCTGTCTGTTCTTGATATGATGGTAATATCTTTGACTAATCAACCCCACTTCCCCCCCCAAAAAAAAAACAGATGAGCTGTCCGAGTCGCTGGTAATGCGACGACCACGTCGCACTCGCACCACATTCACCAGCTCCCAAATAGCCGAGCTGGAGCAGCACTTTCTGCAGGGACGTTACCTGACCGCACCTCGCCTGGCCGATTTGTCTGCCAAGTTGGCGCTGGGCACGGCGCAGGTGAAGATCTGGTTTAAGAATCGCCGACGCCGCCACAAGATTCAATCGGACCAGCACAAGGATCAGTCGTACGAGGGCATGCCGCTCTCCCCGTCCATGCCCAATGCACCGGCAAAGACAGCGGATGCGGATCCGCCGAGTCTGCAGGCGCTGAGCCTTAGCGGTAGCGCTGCCACACCCAATGCTCTGACGCCATCGCCCACACCATCCACGCCCACGGCGCATCTCGTTGAGCATTACAGCGAGTCCTTCAGCGCCTACTACAACTACAACGGCAATCAGCATACACAGGCCGCAACGGGTCAGCAGCGGATTGTAACGCAGATGCCTGGCCAGTATTCGAATGCATCGGCGTCCAATTCTGCTGCTCAGTTCTTTCCCGGGGCTGCAGCCATGCACCAGCAGCATGGCAATGCACATCAGCAAGTCCATCACCAGCAGCAGCAGCCACAGCAACTGCATCATCCCCATGCGATTGCACAACAACAACAACAGCAGCAACAACAACAACAACAGCAACAATACCATCATTTTGATTTTCAGCAGAAGCCTGGAAATGGCTGTCGGGTGCCGCTGATCAAATGCGAAAACGAGGACGACTACAATTTCAATGGATCGTATTATATGAGGACGGCGGCGCTGCCGCTGAGTGGCGTCGCTGCCAGCGGCATGCCGGCCGTCGAGGCCGTGACGTCTGCGCTCTCGCCCGGCTCCGAGGTCTATGAGCCATTAACACCAAAGAATGACGAAAGTCCCAGTCTGTGTGGCGGTGGCGGACCTGCTGGCGGCGGCGTCGGCGTTGGCGGCCCGTGTGCCACTGCTGTCGGCGACGCCGATGTTACCGACGACATGGACAATGGATCGAATAAGAAGACGACGACGCTGCAGGTGAGTGTCCGCCTTGCATAATGAACTGCTCAGATGGTATCCTGAAGTGTCCTTGATGCTTTCCTTTATCAGATATACGCAAATTAATTGCCTGTTTTTTTCACAATACAAATCAAATTCTCCTCATGATTTGCAGAACTTGGAGCCATTGAAGAGCAATAACAACAACAATGCGGTTGCAGACAAAACCTGTGACAATGGCAGCGATATCTTGAGCCAAGGACTTCTCGCTGTGGCACGTGGCAATCTCATCGGGTGTGGTGGCAGCAGCGGTAGCAGTACCTTTGGCAAGTTCGGCAAACTCACTGTGCCGTCCACGCAGCCGCCACCGCATCCGGGTGGCTCAATGGAGGCGATGCAAGAGTCAAACCAATATCAGTGCACGATGGATACGATAATGCAAGCGTATAATCCCCATCGTAATGCCGGTGGGAACACCCAGTTCGCCTATTGCTTCAATTAGGCTGACACATTAAATAATGCCTCAAAATAATAATAATTGTAAAGAAAAAAAAACCAAACAAATTTCAATGTTTGTGGAGTTTATAGCTTTAACCGTTGTTTCCTGATTGTACAAAGATCTAATAATTGTAGATATCCATATGCATAGTATTTAAGCCAATTTAACATTGTTTTAAACCAAGTATGTAATGCATAGTTGTAGCTGGCGAGTTTTTTTATGCATTTTCTACTGACATAAACTTAAGTCCCACTATTTGGAAACTTTATTTGTAAAGCGCTCTTTGATCTCAACGCTGTCTGGCTGGGCATTTGCCAAAGCCCATGAATGCCCAACCAGACACTGTTGAGACGAATATGGGCTTTAATTGAACGCTTTACAGAAGAAGTTTATAGATAAATATAAAATGCATTTCTTTCTTATAACTCAGGCCAACTGGCATAGCCTGTAAAACTGTACTGATCTAAATGAAAAATGTTTCTCTTCCTAATAATCGCATGTCTTTCTGTGGACACTATCTGCCATTATCAGTCGAAGATCGAACGTTTAACCAATAATGTTCTTCAGAATATTTTTAAACTTTGTTATGCCACAGTTTGCATGTTGCAATTAAGCATTCTTCACGTGAGAATTGTTTACAATTTGTCTCAAAACACATGTAAAGCACAGGCCTCAGTTATCTAAACGAAATCTTTACTTACTTTCAGTATGTAAGAGAGTTTTATCAGTTGAAAATGCATTCAAAATATGTATCCCAGTTACCCTTGAATGGTGCACCATTTAAATATTGTTCTAAACGTAACTTATCTACATATCTGTATGAAATAGTCTTTGGGGACATATTTAAAATATTCAGAGTATTGTTTTCTGTACTATTTTAATAAATCTTATAAACTACAATATATGTTTAACACTATGCTCTTAAGCTTTAAAGATACGCTGTCCTTGAACAGACTTCAGTTCGATTAGTATTAATTAAATACATATTATGAGGTGCTATTAAATCTATCGAGTAAAACGATCTTGTAAAGTTATTTAAATTCGTAAATAAGTACAAAGAATCGAGAATACTTAAAGCATGAAGCTTTTTAAAAGTTGAAATTTGAACTATATGATGGGGAAATAATTTTGATTATATGCCATAATATATTATACATTGCGATAAATATGACTAAGTAAAAGTACGAAAATGCATATTAGGGTTATGAGCTTTTGTACGCAAGTTGAATGCTGCATGCAACAAACGTTCGATGAACGAAAACTGTAGCTGGTTTTTCCGAAAATCTTATGAATTTGAAGCTGGAATACGCCACAGGCACATGTGTGCAATAAAATCGGATCCGCGAATTTTCCGCGAAATGCGCATAATAAAATTCGCGCTTAATTTAAATCCAAATCACCAGGTGCCTGTGTGTGTTTATATCTACCTGGCTTGAACTATTTAGGTAGGCTCGCTGGCTGCCCCGACCGGGTGTGCACATGCTGCCCCTACGAGGCGCCTCAAGCGCCGAACCATCGACCAATAGCAGGCAACTTGTTGCAGCACTTTTCTTTGATATAAAATACGGGAAATCCGAAATTAGCATGAAAGAACTAAACTTGGGTTTCTCCCATATGCAATTTTATTGACGCTTTGTGTAATTGGATGAGCTGCCGGGGGGCGCGCCAATGTGCAGCTCCGTGCTCCTTATTAATGTTGCACGTGATGTATCTTAATTTATTAAAATATTAAATATGTGCCACATATGCATAACTTAAAACTAATTGTTTATATTATTTTTTATACGTTATAATATTAATATAATACATTGAATAGTATTTGTCATAAAGTATTTATAATATAATACACCATTTTTTAAAGACTTATTTCAAAGACAATTTCCACATACAGGTATTCAGTATATTCTTAGTAATTCAATTACAAGTGAAAGTATCTGCATATCTACATAAATAACATGTATGTATATATATATATACATATATGTATCTTTATAGGACCACGTGTCGCATTCTACCCAAAAATGTACAGGAATATTTGTATGTTATGACTTTGCCTTTGTTCTGGCGTATTTTTAGTAAATTCGGAGAAGTGGCAAATCCTATAGCGCCAGTAATAAAGTTTTGCGAACTCGCCGAATTCGCAGTGCCGGCGACAGGGGCAAAGGGCGAAGAGAACAATGGCCGCAACAGTGTGAGAGAGAGAGACGACGACGACGACGACGCATTGTGAGCCTGTCAGTGTGACACAAATAAAGTCATAAACTGTTAAATCAAGCATAAAACCCTCGAAATATCCTTTTTCGTTGCATTATCCGGAGCGACCAAGAGCCGCGTCACGACGATCAGAGCAACGTATGTCGTCGCATGCCCTTGGATCGTCCTTCGACGCGATGTAGTCGTAGTCGGCTTCACTTTCGTCGACGTCTCGTCCAAACAGGTGCTACAAGTTGGACAACACAACTGAACAACAGATCCTCATCAGTGATGGGCAGCCGCCAGTTTACCTGGCGGCCAGATTCGGATCGATCTGAACCTGGACGAACTCACGTAACGCAACAAATCCGAGGCTAGCCGGATTTCGATCAAAACAAGCCCCTAGATTGTCCATGCCCTGGACTTGGCTAGTCTGGCTGGTGCCAGACGCACCCATATCGAGGAAAAGAAAGAGACAGCAACAAAAACGGCGGCAGCAGATGAGGCAGACGACGACGACAACGACGAAGACGAAGACGATGACAGCCGCATCAGCGCTATACAAAAGGATTTATGGCACTGTGCGCGAGTTTAGGCAAATTTTTCGTCTAATTTTTGGCAAACCCACCGTCTACCTAGCCAGGCTATATATTGGCCGAGTGCGGCCAGGCAGGACATCACTATTGATTTGGACAGCCGAACAGTAAGACGAACGAACACTCGAGATGTCATCCGTCATGCATTACTATCCAGTGCACCAGCCAAAGATGAACACCTACCCAGCTCCAGTGGTCAAGTACAGCAATGTAAGTAGACAGCAATCTTGGATCAGCCGCTGACATCTCAACTAATAACTCTTGTTCCTGACAACAGCTCCTGTACGGAAATCATCACAACACAAGCAACCCGCCACAAGCCATGCAACAATCGCAGCAAACACCCCTTCCAGCCGTGGTCTCGCTGCCCGCGTACCATTCTCCAACCACACTGCCCTTGTCAGTGGGGGAGCAGCAGGGGCAGCAGATATCTTCCGATGAGAATATGGCCTTGCAGCCAGCGCAGGCGCAACGGGTCAAGTTGAAGCGTTCCCGGACAGCATTCACAAGCGTGCAGCTCGTGGAGCTGGAGAGCGAATTCAAGAGCAACATGTATCTGTACAGGACGCGTCGCATTGAGATTGCTCAGCGTCTGTCGCTGTGCGAGCGTCAGGTGAAGATCTGGTTCCAGAACCGTCGCATGAAGTTCAAGAAGGACATTCAGGGTCATCGCCAACGCGACTCGAAGCCCAATGCCAAATTGACGCAGCCTCAAACGGAGCAGAGCGCTCATCGCGGCATTGTGCAGCGACTAATGTCCTACTCCCAGGATCCCAGTGCAGAGAAACGCGCTGCACAACCGAACCCACCTGTTATGCCACCCACGTTGCCAAATCCGGCTCAAGACTTGTACGGACATGTCAAGCCCAAGCCAAAGACTCAAACGGTGGCCAGCAGCGCATCGGATCTGAGTGAAATTCTGGAACACCTCGCCCAGTCGACGGCAGCACCCGCATCCAGTGCTGCTCTGCCTGCCAGCTCCGCCTCAACGGGACACTACTCGTACAATGTGGATTTGGTGTTGCAGAGCATCAAACAGGATCTGGAGGCAGCGGCTCAGGCCTGGTCCAAGTCCAATGCAGCGCAGACCCGTCACCACAATGCCGAACCAATTGCAATGCACCCTAGCTCATCGCTATCCATGAATCTCTCGTGGGGTGAGCCAGTGGCCAAGTCAAGGAAGTTGAGCGTCTCGCACCTGAATCCCTGCACGGCTTCCTACGACTATCACAACTGAAGACAACTATCTCTGCTTCTTTGCCCATATTTTTTTTCTGCTTTAAGTTAAATCTAAGTATTCGTCCCTGGTAAAAGAAGACGTAAAAGATACAACTCAGTGAAACAATAGCGAATAATAATAGAAAAAGTCAACATTTTGGATGCTCAAACTACTCAGTAAATATATAATTTAAGACTAGGTAAGAATTTATAACAATAAAGCAATTATTGCAACAGAAAAACTAATTTCGTGGAAGCTTCATAAATCTTATCCATTAAACGCAATGATTAAGGGACTTCTAATTTGTAATATCAAGTACATTTTCCAGTTCCAGTCTCTTCTTTCGCCAATCTAGAATCCCATGTCAACCCTTTATATAAGTGCATTCAAGCATACATTCATCCTTAAATGGAACATCCTTAGCAAGTGCAAATCCATCATTTCGAATGTCAAACGGGGCGTTTAAATGAGCAAAGAGTTCATTTTTGTGGCATACTTAAATAGTAAATTTTACCACTCGTCCCACTCGCCCCATTTGCCCAGTGTTTTCACTTTTGCATTTAATGTCCTCTTGTGGCTTGAGGGGTCAACTCGAGGAATTCCATGGAAAAGTCAAATGCTTGCCAGTGTTTGCGACCATCTATTAATGCAAAAGAGAAAAGTGTCAACCGCATTTGCCTTGGACGCAGACCCAGGATCTGGCCCAGCTCCAGTGGTCATCTTGAAAATGCCGCAGAGAGTACGAGTCCAATTCCGATTCCGAGTACGAGTACGAGTCGGAGAGAAGTGCTACGATTTGATTTATGGATATTTAACCGCACGCATTACGAGTACTCGTGTTGGGTTTGTTGGGACACTTGTTTTGGGCGGCAGCTGGACGACATCTTTGCGTGGAAATGCGATTCGACTGCTGCTGCTTCGGTTGCTGTTGCTGCCCCAAGGAATGTGTACGAGTGCAAGAACAACACAGAGGCACACACATGCCACAAAACATGCTTAGTTACTCCGGCTTGAAGTGACTTTTGGGGTTATGCCAGTGGGTGAGGTTTAACAAGTGTGTGTGTGTGTGTGTGTGTGGGTATACCCTGGTGTGGCAAATTGCTTCCCCTGGGAGGAAATTGTCGGTGCGGAAATAGTGCCAAGGAGCTGTGACAAAAAAGGGGTGGCACCTTGGAATTTTCATGCGCATTGTTGACATTTCCGAGCATGTGTCAGACGCGTTTGTGTTTGTGGTAGCCATACCCGCGGGCGGGCTAGTCCTTGACATCACATGTCCTTCGCCTAACCACAAACAACACTCACACACACACACACACAAATACATGAGTGTTGTCGCTGCCATAATGAATATAGATGTGATTTTGGGTTTGAAGGCGGCATTGTGGGTGTGGCTAATCGTCTGGCCATAAGCGCAGCTAATCAAAGCAGCATAAAAAAAGGCAAAATAAAAACAGCTAGAGAGAGAGAGTAAGAGAGAGAGAGTGAGAGGGAGTGAGATGAGCCAGCTGCAATTACGCGAAATGCCAGTGTAATAAACATGTCCAACAGATTGTTTCAATTGTTCGCTTTCTTATGCTGCCCACTCGCAGCTCAATCTTTTCGTGTTGCGTGGAAGCGAGACGAGCTTGCTCCATTGCCATTTTATTGGATTGCGACCGTGCCTTGTGCGTCGCTGATGACACAACCGAGATGGCAACGAGTCTTTCTTGTTCCTTGTTGGTCTGGTCATAACAATAAATTCCACAAACCGCACTTGCTGCCTAACCGTGCTTATGCCTCCGCCTCCACCCCCGGCCCCGTTGCTGCTCTATCAACTCTATCCAGCGATGAGCCAAATGGTTTCTTGTTAATTAAATTAAATATTCACTTCTGCACGGGCGCTGCTGAGGAAGGTATTGCAAGGCTCGAAACAAGGCAACTGCGACATTTTCTAATTAGATTGAATCTATAATTTTTATGGCTAATCGCAGCGCTCGTTGTCAGCTCTGAATTTTGAATTTGCGGCTTGCACGGATTTCACGGCTTTTGCCAATTATTTCTTAAACGCGTCTCCTCCAAATGACCAAAGAAGCTGCAAATGTATTTTGTGTGCTAATGAAACTGGCTCTTGTATAAACTTGTTTTGCCTTTTCTCATAAATTAATTGGACTTGCTCGGTTGCAAAGATGTGCAACGATAAATAAACAAGAAGGAAAGAGTTTATTGGGCATGCCAAAGACTACATACTCTTCCAGACTAGACTGGAGTCCAACAGGAACCATTCCAATTTCATTATAAATTTGAGAAGCCTTAGGGAACTATATGATATGTTAATAGGAACTATATGATATAGTATGGAGTTGGAGACTTCTCTTTCAAACTTCAGTCGGAATTATCATAACCTCTGAAAAAACCAGATCAGAGGTAAATGGAAAAAATATGTATAATTGCTGGCTAATGGTGTTTTAAAACTAGCAATTACTTAAATCTGATCTATATGAAAGCATAATCAATTCCATCAGACTTGTATTTAATACGCCTAGTTGACTAAGCAAATTTGTTCAGTGCTCGATATGTGCATATTTGTAATGTTTTCGTGTGGATTTCAGTATTTTCGGCACGTTTAAACGTTATGACATTTCACAGACGTGTTAGTCCCTCAACGCTACCAATATGGTAACACCTGTCGCATAAACAGGCCAAATGTGTGCCCCTTTCCCCCTTACCCCCGCTCAACCAACATATGCAGGCGCAAAAAAGTTTTTTTTGCTCAAAAAAATGTAGTAGAATACGTATACGGCTAGGTAATGCTTACTCTGTACCTTACAGCAGTTGGCGTAAAAAATAGTGCACCCAGCCCGTTTCATGCGTGTCTCCGTGCCAAAGAAGCAGCCACGTTTGGCCAAGGAGTGGGCCAACGTCTGGTGTTTTGTATTCCACAGGGGAATTTCGCAAAATGAGTGCGTGAAAAAAAAAACACTTTAACATTTGAATGCCAATTGCTGGCATTGCTGGGTGGGTGCGGGGGCAACACACCTTTGACTTGTGTGTACAGGGCAATCCTGGTGTGTGCAATACAACGGCATTATTGTTGTGCCTTCCGCAGCTTGAATCATGGGCCAAAGCCGTGACGTTGTTGTCAGCATCTGTTGCTGCTGGAATTCCGCATCGACTCCACTTCCACTCCAGGTTGAAACGTTGTGCGTGTGTACAACTGGGTTTAAAACAATGTGCGACACAATTTGAATATTTGATTATTTCCAAAAGTATGCACACGTTTGCATACAACACATCAACTGATTGTTTGTTATCCTGAATATTGATATATAATTTAAAACTAAACGATGGAGAAATTTGCCCATGCCCAATAGTTTGAAAGAAAGTGGATGATGTGCTCAAGTTTATTCGAAATTATGCCTGGTCCCCAAAAACACTTTCAAATTTTCAGTGTCGTCAGCAGATCAATTTCTAATAAAGACTTCATAAATTGGTACTTAAATTGGCATTAATGATTTTGGCTTAAAAACATCTTTGTTTTTATTATTTCTTAATGTGGGAAAACGCGTATAATGAAACTGTGCAAAAGTATATAACTGTAACTGGCTGAAGGTTACTGGTCAGACGTCATAAAGTTTATATATTCAGGATCTGCATCTAAAGTTGGGTCCATCCATCCCTCTCTATCTGTGTGAACCAGTCGATCTCATATACTATAAGAGCTAGACGCTTTCTTGGAGTGTAAATCAGATTTGATTGATTTATTTATATATAATATACCCAACTGTAAAATCATCATTAAATTTTTTTGATCAAAATTTATTTTCATATTGCATATTTGACCTATTCATCTCGTAGTCAAGTTCTCACTATTTTATATTCATTTAAGCTCGATGCTCTCAAATTGATTTCTTCAAACGAAAAATCGGATTTTATTCCTTTAAAATTATAATCATATTCACATTCAATCTACGCAAAATTCAGCAGATTCCATATGCTGTCTGACCTCCCAATGAGGATGCGTATCAGTATCTGTGGCTGTATATATATATATATATATATATATACATATGTGTATATGTATGAACAGGTACGTGCCGGCTTAGTGGTATACTTATGAGCGAATGGCTGGTATATTTTTCATGATGTAAAACCCACAATTAAATTACATAAAATCCATTTGTAATAATTACGCCGAATGGCAATCTATGCTGATGACCGCATATGCCGCAACGGTCGTCATATGGACGAAAAAAACAAAACGAAAAAAAAAACAGCAGTTGGAGGTAAGGTAAAAAACAACTCTTGAATACTACTTCGCCTAAGCGCAATTCGTATAAAAATGCGATGCGTCATGTGAGCAATTTGTTTGGGGGGGTGGCGACGAAGTGGAAGGGTGAGGGGATGTGCCACAATGGTGCCACAACCAGTTCACCGGCTCGCTTTGTGATGCAATTATTTATTCCTGCATGTTGCCACTCGCGTGAACGGAACGAGCAAACGACAACAGCCACTCTGCCACATCTACAGCCAGAGTTGCAACGTGCAACGCGCAACGCGCAACGCGCAACGAGCAACAAGCAACACGCTGGCGCTTAAGCATGTCCATGTCCGGCCTGTTGATAAACGCTCTTCCCATCAACATCGACATCGTCATCGCCATTTCCATTGAGTGTGTGTGTGTGTCTGTGTGTGTGAGTTCGCTCCTAAATGCACTGTGCACACGAGAAATATATCCGCCGTCAGTTCCCAAAGTGTTTGCATGCACACACACACACACACACACACACACACACAGTCCAGGACCAGGTAATGTCAGACGACTTGCACAATCGTATCCATAGACAGAGCCACAGCTAAAACCAGTGCAATTTTCAGGATAGAGCTTGAGTTGGGCCATTGGCTTTGAGCTCAGGTTGCGGCTCTATTATTAGATGCCATTATATTTTATAGTCTATAATTGATTCGCTGAGCTTGGCATGCATGCATTTTTTCGAACAAATCGTTTGACATTAATATGAAAAGTAATGTGAAGACATTGTTGAATCCTCTTAAGCTTTACGCAGCAATCGTGCACATCCGCATAGTCTCCCTTATTATGAAAAATAAGATAATATTGAAGCCACAAAATCTTCTAAAAGTTTTAATGAAATTATTATCACCAATGCACATTTTCAGAAATTTTGTGTGTATCAAACTATGTTGTGTAGTTGCTAAGCAAAGACTCGTGGACTGGTTGCCATGCGATACCTTCGTTGAGGCTATGAATGTATAAACAAACTTGTCGAAAACAGCAGCAAGCATTCACAAATATTCTCTTCAAACGAAAACAGTTCAATAATTTTTAAAGTGTATTAAGTTCCATAATGTATTCCCTACAACATCCCCAAACAGATGAGAGCTTTCTCCGACTTAATTCCACGGTCGATGAAGTTATGATGCTGCTGCGTAGCATACAAAAACCAACAGAGTAAATATAATAACTCCTTAAAAAAGCAAAATAAAACAATATTTTACCTTGTAGCGAAAAAGTTGAACCCGAAGACTCTGCAGAAAGTGTTACAGAGGACAATTTTATGGTGACAGTGAGGCAAAAACCAACAAAAACCAAAGGGACTACAACAAATAACAATAAGGATCGATTCACATTCATGAGACAGGTGGAAGTTGATCAGGCTGAGCGCTCCAAGGCGCGACTAGAGCGTGAGCGTGTTGCACAGAAATTCAGAAAGTAAGTTGATATTCCTTCAGGACAAGTACAATTTATATTAAGTGGAAATTATCCCTTTTATAGACTGGGCAACGCTGATTATCGCAAGGGAGACTATGCAAATGCGGTAAGCATGTACAGTCAGGGCATTGACAACATCAAAGACAGTCCAATATTGTACATAAATCGTTCTCTATGCTTCATCAAGTGCGTATTTTATTACTCCAACACTCAATATCAAATTCATATTCGGTTTATTGCTTTTGCACAGATTGGGGGATTTCAAACGTGCCATCATCGATTGCGACTTTGTGTTGAACAAGCTGGATGAGAAGAACATGAGGGCCTGGCTTTATCGCGCCCTGGCCTATAAAAGCATGAGCGATGAGGCCAGCTATGATAACTGTATTAAATATGTGCGCAAGTATCATTCCAAGCAGTTGGAGTTTATAGACACATTCGTTGAAAAAATTAAGTCTATTATATAAGGGAATAAATAACACAATTGCTGATGCTAAATTAAATGATGATGCTGGAATTGGGGACTTATAAAGGCTCTCCAAAACTAATCCATTACATTACCAATGCATTGAGTACATTTGCAGGAACTAGAAGCATATAAGAAGTATGATATATGAATAGTATTTAATGGAATGATAGTTGTTGAGCTCATTAAAAGTTTATTTAAAGTTTGAGCCGCAAATAGAAACCGAAACCAGCCAAGGGAAAAACGCAAACTCAAGTGTTGTTTACATATGACAGCAGGAATTTTCATGTTGATGTCAACGTTGTGTCACAGTGTCAGAGGCAGTAGCAGCAGTAGCAGCAGTAGAGCAGAGTTGCGGAAGCGTGAACCGGCGTATAACTCTTTCGATTCTAATGCCATTCAATCGAAACTCGCAGCCACGTACACCACCCCGTCCAGCACCCCATCACCCATCCATCCATCCCATACCAACCCAGCCACCCTGTAAAGGCAAACAATTCGATGGCGGTAATCAATCTTCCTCCACTCTGTGTGCGAGTTGACAGCTCCGTGGTGTAGAGTCAAATTGCGATCTTTGTTTGTCCCGGTCCCGGTCCCGGCCAGAATCGGGTACACAGGGAACCCCCACCCCCAGCACTGTACCCACGTATGGCACACACACACAGAGAGGGCACTATCTGAGTCAGGGTGGGGTTTTGCCTGTTCCTGTTCCATTTATGCGTGTCAAAGGTTGCGTCGGAGGGCGACAGATTGAAGCGAGGCAGTGGCAGTAGCAATGGCAGTGGCAGAGGCAGGCAACACAAATGTTGTACTTGTCACGGTTGTTGCGGTAGTTGCATCTTTAGCTTGAAGTTCAGCATGGGTATGTGCATGTGTGTGAGGCATACATACATTTCTACAATATGTGTATATGTATGTGTGTGGAAGGAGTGTGCGACTTGCGACTTGCTGGCAAGTATTTGAAGGCTTGTGCGGTTGCTCAAATCTCACATGATAAATAGTCAATAAGTACTTATATGTGTGCGTGTTCTTATCTTACTGCAAATGAGTCGAATAATTTTTTGTTCTTAATTTATTTCTCTTGTCATTAAATACTGTACACATTGTTCACAATTAACGCTATTATTAGTTCCATAAATCGATTGCAACTAAATGTTAACAATAATCTAAACATCAATCACCCGTAACTGCTTTATAAAAATGAACGTTTTGTTTTGATATCGAAAAGTCGTTCGAATCATGCTGTCTTTCAGCTAAATATAAGTATTTAAAAAGACATTAATTGTTTTGAAATGTCATCAGTCGAAAGATAGAAGATACTGTGAAAATGTGCACTGAATGATTTTGTTATTAATACAATTTAATTTTCTGCCTTTCTGAACTAAATCATACTTTTTGCAATTTTTTGGCTTTTTGAAACATTTGTGCTAACGTTCTCAGAAGTAACCAGGGAATATTTCTTCCCATCCTCTCAATATACCCGCCTTTCACAAGTTTTCTAATAAATTTTGTAGGTAAGGCAAAGTTTATCGATAACGAAATTCAATGCGTTAATGTTATTGAAATAATAAAACTAATATGTGCAACACAGCAGCTGCTGATGAAATATTGTCCACAGAACAATCTGTTTCAAGAAGGCAGTAATATTCAAACTGGATACACACTTAGTGTATAAACTCATGAGTGTCCTAATCGTGTGTGGGGGTCTCTCTCTCTCTGTGTGTGTGTGTGTGTGTAAGTATCCGTTTTCTTTGTTGGATGACCAAAATTTCAATATGTGGAAATCACTTTATGATGTGATGACACCAATTTATCTAAGTTAGTTGCCAACAGCCGGCAAGTGGCAGATACGCGATATGCCACTGAATACACTGAATATATATTGGTTGGCAGTTGGAACAGATCTTTTATCTTGCTTTTGAAATTTATTCGAAAATGAGAATTGCTTATATCAATAAATTACACTTCTTTGAAATATTTGGACTCGTCGTAGCTTAAGTTTAATTTAATTACATAAATTATATTGAACAATAAATGATGTTGTTCTCTTATGCGTCTAATAAATGTTGCAAAAAGTCATAATCAACATCAATGGGTTCAAAGGAATCGCATGAAGCTGTCGAATTGGTTGTAGACACTGCAATCGAGCTACTCGAGTCCCAGCCAAATTGTTCATCCAAAGATTGGTCCACATAAAACGAATCGAGCTTTTGAAACTCTTGAATGTCTTGAAATAATTCAAATGAATCACAGGATGCGGTAGAGCTGGATGGAGATGATCCCATCGAGTAGTTTGATTCCCAAGCAATCTGTGGATTCACAAATGGGTCAGCTGTAAACTGATCGATGGTTTGCACTTCCGGTGCATCACTAGTGGCAACCCATTGCTCTGTATTGAACCAACTGGTTGGCCCAGTGTCCACATCTGTAAAATCGCGACATGCACTTGGAAGACGATCCTCATAGGGTTCGGGACACTTCCCTGCATTAAAGAAGGTATCGTTCTGTTCCATAATAGCATTATCATTACACGGATCCGATAGATCACAGGTCAAGCTATCTTGGCCCATGCTAACGTATTGCAAGAGACGTTCAACTATCAGCTCATCTTCACTTAGTTGTGGTTGGCTTAGGTGTTCTTCACTTTGCACTATGCCACAATCAAGCAACAGTTTTGATCCCTTGTGTCCCAGCTGCCGATTGGCTAGTTTCTTGGATTTCATGCGTCGATTCTGGAACCAAATCTTAACTTGTCTTTCAGTCAACAGCAGACGTTGACTGATTCCAATGCGACGCGGCCTTCCCAGATACTTATTCTCATTGAACTCCCGCTCCAATTCCATCAGTTGATGGCTTGTGAATGCGGTGCGGGAACGCTTGCACTTGGTGGTGCTGGATGGGCAAAGGAAACCAGAAGGTTGAGCCTCATAGTTCAGCTAGTAAAAGTAGATGGTAAACATATATTGTAGAAGCAATTTAGCTGATATTTCACAGTACAACAACTTACCATGTAGTTGCTAGCATTAGCCATAAACGATTCACTGGGATTGAAGTTGTTGTACATTTTGTTGAGAGATATTTTAGCTTCTGCACTGTGGCACATTGGTTTTTTAACTAGATGCAACTCCATGTCGTCGATTTACTTTTATACCATGCAGGTAAGCCGCTTAGCCGCGAATCGGAGAACTCTTCCCAGTTGCTACCTGAGACCTGTGATCGGCGTCAGGTCTGACCAGCCGGCTGGTGCAACGTGTCTCGTCTGTTGGCATGTCCAGGCTCTGGCTCCGGAAAGTCCACGACGCATTTAGAACGTGGCGTGAGTCTTGATTGCGAGACGACTGCCACGTCTGTGTCGTGTGTGTCTCATTGAAATGCACCATTTAATTGACTTTGCTTCACATTACATGCAATCAAAAGTCCATGACGATTTCTTATTTAATTGTCAGAATAAATCTCAGAAGCTTTACTGTTACCCAATTTAACCAAAATAAATTTAGTATTATCCCTAGTGAGACTTTTACTTTCATACCTGAATATTAAGCAAGATGGTACTTTAGGTAAATCCATATTCGTCACCGAGATATGAAAGAGAATTTTCGTGGTTTTTCCGCGGGTTTTCCAAAATAGCTTTGACTACTTCACCTTGAGCTACCTGCCCAGTTGGGCTCAGGCTGACGAAGACCCCGACTCGGGTCATAAAGCGCCGTGCATCGGTTAAACTTGATCTCCGTCAATAAAATTAGAGCTGCTACTCTGCTTATGTGTTTCCACCTTCGAGTTTTATGACGAGAAGCTAAGGAAAATCGCACAGGCTTATGGAAACGGACCTCAAATCTGGGCTTCAAAGTGTAAAGTATTTATGCACATTTATTTATGTAGGTAAGTGTTCTTATACATATGTACAGTGTCTCGCAGTTAAACTGGAACAGCGCCTAGCAAAATATTTAAAGTGCTATAAGGTTTAAACAAAACAATAAACGCAAAATGTTTAAATGCCAATTTGTTTTATGTTATATCACGTTTGAAAAGGAAGCTTCAGTTTTTATTAAAATATTAAATAATTAACTAAAATTAGTCAAAACTTAAAACTTATCCAAAATACATGTCAAAGTTTTTTGGAACAGTCTTAGAAAATTAACTTATTAGGCGTATAAAAACTTAAATAAGGATCTTAATACTTAGTATGATACCCCTTAGCCTTAATAACCTCCCTTAACCTATTATTCATGGAAGATACCAGCTTCCGGGTGGTTTCTGGACTGACTTTGCTCCACTCATCCAGCAGAGCATTTTTGAGATCGGATCTGTGATTCCTGATGTTATTTTCCAGCAGAGCCCACAAATTTTAAATAACATTTAAATCTGGAGACTGGGCCTGTGGAATTATCGTGTGGGGGCAGTTCCAGATATGCCAGGAGTGTACTAATCCGGACTTATGCTTGGCTTTTGTCCTGGTCGTTGTCGTGGTAGAACCGGAAAGTACGTCGGATTCCTAGCTTCTTGGCACTTTGGAGTAAATTTTCCTTTAGTATATTGAAATACACACTCTTGTCCATTGTTGTTTCAAAAAACACCAAATTCCCGACGCCGGCTGCCGAGATACATGCCCATACCATGACACTTCCTCCGTCGTGCTTGACTGTTGCCTTTAGGATTTTGGGACTCAGCTCAGTATTGGACTGTCGCCACACATAATTTTGTCCGTCTGAGCCAAAAATGTTGAATTTGGGCTCATCTTCAAATATGAATTTGTTTCAGAACTCCAAATCCTTGTCCAAGTGGGTTTTGACGAATGCCATCCTAGTCCCTTTATTTTTGGCGCTTATAAAGGGCTTATTCCGTGGTACTCGGGCATTAAAGTCATGGTTGCGCAGAACCCGGCGCACAGTTTTCACACTGCACTTTTTCCCCATTTCATCCTGCACCTGTTGAGTCAGTTTTGGAGCCGATAGCTTTGGATTTTCCCTTATTTTCCTGATGATCCTCCGCTCCTCCTGTTCGGTGAAAATCTTGTTTGGTGCATTTCTGCCCTTGTCCTCTATCCGATTTTCGTCGACGAAGAGTCGAATGATGTTGAATACAGTGGTGGTACTCAGATTTACCATTTTAGCTATTTGGCGATGTGAAAATCCAATCTTGAAGTGTTCCAGGATGAGATTACGTTGCCCAATGGTAGTCCGTTTGTCAATAGTCCTTGTTGGCTGGTGGAACCCGAGATGCAGGATATAAATATACTGACTACGAAGGATAGGTCTATTTATACCGAAAATAATCAACCTGACGTAAAAAATCCAGGTTTTATGGCACCCAGGTGTCCATAACGCCCTTGTTCCACATAATATGTGACCATAAATTAAGGTACTTTTTACATAACCCGGCCTAGCCGATGGGAAAACCCCAGTTTATGGGGGTCATATAGTCATTTAGGTAGTAAATATATGTACCTACCATCGGTCTTTGGAATTTTGAAAAATATTGAATAATTTGTTTATGGCAGGCAATTAACTTTTTTGCTAGGTGCTGTTCCAGTTGAGCTGCGAGACACTGTATGTACATATTACTTATACGTCATACTCTCATTTAATTTTTGTGTTTCCAATTTCAAATACAGTTTTCAACAAAATGTCAAAGCATAATCAAAAAAGTTATTGCTTTTCATCATATCTGTCCAGATTTAATGAAGTTGTGAAGGTGAAAGTTTTGATCCCTCCAAGAATTTAACAAGTCATTGTCCAAATTAATGATATATAAATATATTTGTACAGTTTATGGGATCAGAGACGTCTATAATACTCTCTGCAAAGGTTTTTAAAAATAAACAAGTTGATTGGGAGAACTCGACTAGGAGTTTGAATATTCAAAGTGAAAATACTTCCTTTGGCTAAGTCTTAATCGGATTTGTACAGTTAGTAATTCAGCTGCATCTTTATAATTATATCTTTTATTCAAATCGGATATCGACTTCTATCGATAGTAGCGAAAAAGTGAAAGTTATCAATAAAAATAAAGCTTAATCAGCGTCCGCTTGTATGTACGGCTAAATCAACTCGGCTGTTGATGCTGATCAAGAATATATATATATATACTTCATTTGATGGGAGCTGTTTCCTTCTGCCTATTACAGGCTCTTACACAACTGCATTATATCTTATCATAATTAATGGGTTCGGGCTGTGAATACATTTGCATGTGTCTTCTAACAATTATTAGTAAATCGTATAATATATGAAGCTAAATTGTACATGCTACATGTCTGTTGGTTCATAAACTTTTGGCTTTCACTGTGCAGCGAAAATGAAACAAGCGGCAGCGATGCGATTGCCAATAAAAACAGAATGTGAAAAAGTGTGGCAGCAGAAAAACAATGCCACCAAGATTGACAACATGATGGTTAGACAAGAAGAGGCGCTCAAAACAAAAAGAAAGACGCGCAGCTCGCAAAACGAAATGTCAAAAATACGCAACGCAAAAGCGACAGCGGAGACACCAAAAAAATAAAAAATAAATGAAACTCGTCGCTGCCGCTTTTACTGCTGCCGCTGCCGCTGCTGCTGCTGCCGCTGTCACAGCGGCGACGGAATGTGTAAATAACAAAAAGCAAATAAATTCCGTCACAAGCAACACGTTCACAGTGCAGAGTGGTAAAAACAGCGGCGCAGCTGAGCGGACGACAGCCAAAGCGACACGGCCACAAAGCGACAGAGCGACAAAAACACACAACACAATCAGCCGCAGCAGCTGCAGCAATCGACCAATCAGCGGCAGCGTATACTTTGTAGCCTGCCTGAGTGTGTGAGAGTGTGTGTGTGCGTGAGTGGGTACGAATCATTTGCATATGTGTGTGTGAGAGTGCTGCTTACCTGTGTGTGACTGGCAGAACTCCACCCCCGGCAACCGTCTCGACCAGCGCTACTGCGCATGTACAGCTCTGCTCTCCGCTGCCTGCCTGTGCACGACTTGCGGAGATCGACCGATAAACACAAAAATACAACAAACAACAGTGTTAGAAAAGAAGTAAACAAATATGGTAAATATAACCAGACATTTAAGATGTGCTCGATAAAACGTACAATTTATATAAGAGTTTGTTTTGCGGTTAGAGCTAGAGAACCTCCTTTATTTGGTATATTTTTTATGTTACATTTTACATATATTTTTATATTAGTTTATAGATATTTATATTAAAACATTTGTTTGCGTATTTCCAATCAGAAATTTACTCACGAAATACACGGCACTTCAAGAATGAATTTTGCACTCACGAACACGGATCTAAAAACACATCTCTCTCGCGCTGACAATCCAAACCACCCCAAAGTTGTGCTCTGTCTCCGACAGTGGCACAGCACACGGATAGCACACAATGCATATGTATGTGTGCAGCGGACACGTTTTGGACACGCCCCCCTGATTGGTGGTTGTGGCGCTCATCTTTGAAACTAGTCGTACAATATGCTCATTCTTGGCCACTCCTTGCGACAAGTGCGGACAAGTTTCAGTGCGTTCGGTGCTATTGGATGAAATGGTTGCTTAAGAGTCGTGCCCGCACGAACCAGCATCGTATTGCCCAGAAACGGAGGGAGAGTTGCAAGTCTGAGTCTTAACGTGTTTAGCTGAGCAAATGCAAATGGGAAAACAATCTAACAATTCAAGCAGTTTGTTGTGTTTATTCGCAGTCGGAAATGTGCAATAGAATAGTGAATAATACTTAGTTGAAAATAGTAACAAATAACAAACGGCAAAAGCCACCATTGAGGCAACAACAACGACACCAACTGAAACCGGTTCTGCGCACCGATACGCGAAGCTGAACCTATGCCTCAGGCCAGAAAGGGACAGCTACACACAGCACCAGCACTTTAGTGGCGCGAATGTGTAGAAAAGTGTAACTTGTAACTACAAATTGCAGTGCAACTGTATGTGTGCATATATATATATATATATTTATATATATGTGTGTGTGTCTCTCTCTCTCTCTGAGTACTGTGTGTGTACTGTGTACTGTGTAGTGTGTGTTGGCCATTGCAAGATCAGCTTCGGTTTCTTGTCACTTTTGTCCAGGCCCTTTACTCAGAGCTCGAAAGCCAAACTCGAACTTAACTTCTTTTTTCGCATACGCACCGTTGTACCGGGTCTTGCATTATCTTCGGTTGTTTTGTGTTATTGTGTGGTGTTCCCATTGTTATGGGCACTCGCGTCGCCATGGGTGCAAAGGTGTGTAAAACTGTAGCTGGCAGCTCGACATGATGGAAATGGAACTGTGCCGCTCGAGTAAGCAACGCTCGACACCACCATTGCCATCGCCATCGCCATCGCCTTAGCCATCGCCATCGACATCAACATCAACATCGCCATATTCGTAAGTTCGCGTCGCGGTCGATGACAACTTTGTGCCTGCTTTGCGGGCTTATCTGACCCTGTTCGTAGAAACATCTCAAAGATACATAATAATATACAGTACTTATGCAGACAGAGAGTACTCAATTCACATAGTTTAAATGTTAAATGTGGTCCTATTGTGCACACCAACAAAACAAAATATAATAATTGTCGAAAATCCCGCATTGTGAATAGGTGCTGAAAATGTGAAAAACACAAAATGAAAATATTTTGAGCAAACGCTGCGCATGGAAATCACTCAGCGATCTCTTAGAATGGTGAGTGAAAAGTCTTCTATTTTTATCTTGTCAACTTTCGTTTATTTCTTATCTTTCTATAAAAAAAATCTTGTTCGGAATATACTTGAATGAACTACAATATTGTCATTTATTAAACAAACAAAATTGTTTTGTGTCTATATCATTAATAAATAACTTATATAATCTCAATTAATAATTGTTGTAATTCAACGCATTTTGCTTTAATTTGTATTTTGCAGAATCTCTGACCTGCTAAAGTAAAATATCATTTTAATAGAAAACAACTTATTTAATAATTAAACAAACAAAATCATTCTTGTGGTATACTCATTATGCCAGTTTTTAATCAAAAGAAGTAATTTTATTTATTCTATAAAAAATAGTACATATATTTTTGAATCTCTGTCCAATACAATTCCTCTTGTTACTATTTATTTGGAACGGCTTTCAAATAATAGAATTATAATTTCTTAGATTGATGCGAATATTGCTACTGGTTTTTCCGACGGCCATATTTTATTTTAAAAGAATCTCAAATAAAACCATTCAAGGCTTTTTCCAACACCAACTCCAAAAAGATAGCAATGTTTGATTAATTTCATTTTACCAGTTTCGAGGTCTTGTTGGCTTAATAATTAAATATGTACGCATATTTTGTCTATGCCGCAAAGTCAATATAAATAATCGATTTTTGTCATTACCCATGCCAAAAATACTTGTGAATGTTTTGCAATACAATAATGTATATTAAAATAAATAATGACAATTGTGCTGTGATACAACTTTATTTAACGATTTAAAAAACGAGATATAATATATATTTAATCTTAAATATATTTATTTATTAGATTATTGTTTTCGGGAATGATTGTTTTTAAACATCGATTCTCCATTCCAGGTGCATGACTAAAAAGGAAAGCTCAAGCAATATATATAGAAAATAGACAAAAAAACAAGTGTAGTTTACAATGCAAGAGGTGTGCAGTACATTGGACACAACCCAAATGGGCGCCCAGATCAAATCGGAGTCGCCACTCAATCCGCTTCAGGTGCAAACGGGCCAGACGACGGTGGTGCCCGTTGTGACCGGACCGGGGCCACAGGGGCCGCAGGGACCGCCGCCAGCGGTGATGCTTGTCAACAAAATGGTACCGAACTGTGATAAACGAGCGGCGGACACCGCCTATTGGATGGCCTCCGAAGGGGGTTTCATCAACTCTCAGCCCTCGATGGCCGAGTTTCTCAATCACTTGAGTCCGGAGAGCCCGAAAATTGGCACACCTGTTGTCGGCGGCGGTGTCGGTGGCGGATATCCGGTTGGTGTTGGTGGTGTACCGCAGACGCCGGATGGGATGGACTCGGTGCCCGAGTATCCCTGGATGAAAGAGAAGAAGACATCGCGCAAGAGCAGCAACAACAACAATCAGGGTAAGTACACACATTGCCACTTAAAACTCTACGCTTGCCACGGCGAGATGAAAAGCCTCAATCAACCAAGCAACTGAAAATGCAAAATTCTCATTAATCAACAAATCAGTGCAATTTAGCTAGAAATCGAACGGCGCCGCAGCCCAGATTCCATTCTCCAATACCAGTTACAGTTCCAGTTGCCCAAACCAGAAACCAATAAGGCAATCCCAGCTGGCCAATCTCGTCTGAAGAACTACTCTGAGTCCCACTCGATCACACGAGCACACGCAACGCGTCTTCGTCTCCCTTTCTCTCTCTCTCTCTCTCTCTCTTGCTCTATTTCTATCTCTCTTTATGCTTCTGGGTTCGGCTCCTTTGATGGACAGCGCGCCCTGTACCAAGCCCGAAACCGGTGCGGCAAAGATCTGTTATTTGCGATCATTTGTAACAATTTTCGAGAGTGGCCCGACGTCGATTCGTCAGTGCGACTGATGAATTCAGCTCAAGACGTTCGTCGTTTGTTCGTTTTTTTTTTGTTTTTGTTTTTTTTTTGTTGCTATAATTTTTACCCCAATGTGTCGATTTCATTTGTGCAGCAGAAACTGAAGCCTGCCTGCGACTGTGGCAGCTACATTTTAAAATAAATGAGGTATCAAGGTTGTCTGGCCATACGTTTTCCTGTCCAGGTACGACTGTGGGTACGAGCTGAAGTCCATGAGAGGCCATGGTCCAGGGGTCCAGGTTCCACGCATATGTTGCACACACTCGCTGTGCTGTCTTCCCTCTGAGCGATTGCAACCTGTTATTTAGGTTCATTTGTCAAAATATTTTTCCTGTCCCCTTCTTCGATAAAGGGGCTGTGACGGCAATGGCAGGAAAACAGCCAAAAGCTGGGAATGGGACCAGTGGAGAGCCAGCAGCAAACAACAGTTGCAACAGTTGCAAGTTGCAGTTGCATTGCTACACATATGTACACATACTGTCTCGAAATTTTGGACCGAATTTCGCATTTGTGCAACATTTTGAGCATTATCAACATTTGCCATTCCATTTGCCATTCACTTGGCCAGCATTTCAATTAATCACATGTGGACACAAGTGGAGCGTTTATAATGGGTGCGTTCACTTATGTTACTTGCCCACGGCACTTGACTCAGAGTTGCATTAAGAAGGATGGCCGTCCTGGCCGCAACCAGTTATATTTTCAAAAGTCAAAGCTAGCAATAACTTGTGTCTAAGTTCAGCTTGTAAAATTAAAGTTTACGAACACTTTTTGATATGCTCCTTTTTAGCAAAATATAGCTAGTGGCAAATTAAACCTTAAAAAAATATATTATTTAGTTAAATTTAATATTAATCGTGCCCTAATTAAGCTTCAAGTTCCCTTATTTCTTTGTTGTTTAAATGTAATGCACTTTTATGTCTTAAATTATTAACTCAAGACTAAAGACTAAACTCAACTATTCGATTTCACACCAGCAAAAATCATTTCGCGTCATTTAAAGCAATTAGCAATTAAGCAATTTAATTAAAAATAATGTGATTTATAATAAAGATTACACAAAAAGAAAACTTTGCTGAAAATTCGCTTGATAATCAAATGAAATACGAATGCTCTTTAAGAGCACTTAATTAAACTCAAGGTTAAATTTCACACTCCATGTCCATTTCCTTGTATTTGTGCTGCATTGACCAACACTGACTTAAACTAATACAACGCCAATTAATATCAAACACACCATCATGTTGACAAATGGGAACCACTAATCCGACAAACGATTCAAGTGTAACGTGAAATCCAAACACGTGGCCAGGGAGAGCGAGAATTCTCAAATTCCCCAGCGAACGGTTGCATTTTCTTGGGGGCAGTTGTGGGCGACACTGAAGCTGCCACACACTCACAGTCCAATTCAAAGTTACAGTTACGTGCTGTGGCAACTGGGGCTGCTTGAGTCTCTTTCTCCTCCTCCAAGTCCGAGTGAAAGTGAGCCAATAAATAGCGTGAAGCATTCCAAGCGCCGACACTCGTACAGAATCTGTTGAAGGGTCAATACATCTTTTCTCACACACACAGTCGATTGGGACTACATGCTGAGCGATATGGATTACAAATGATGTTGTAAATGTCTGTCCGCTTGCCAAGCGGGCGGCAAGGACAGAAAACTGGGAACTGGGTGCTGGGAGCGCTGTTACGGTTCTCCGTTGACTCGATAAATGTCTGTGTGTGTGTGTGTGTGTGTGTGAGTATGTTGTGTAGGTTTAACAGTTTAATTTGTTAATGTTGTCAAATTAATTCCTTGTCAGGTTATGTCTGTGCTCAAGTGCTGTCAGTATCCCACCGAGTGGAGGATCGTTAAAATTAAAACATTTCCGGGATCAGTTAATATTTAAGGCGGCTAATTCCAATTGAGATTTGGTTAGTGAAAAAATCTTCTACTGATATAGTACTGATTCTTATTCACTTACCTATTTCAATGCCTTTTTATGTAATACTAAAATATAATCATATTATGTCGATCCCTATAAAATGTGATACTCGAAACCTTATTTTTTGTTGGTATTTGAGGGCCATATTTAATATTGACAGCAAAAGCATTTGTTATTCCAAGAATGTGCGTAATTTTATAATTTTTCAACGCCAATATTTCATTCTCTCAACCACTTCTATTTCTAACAGACTTAAATCAAGGCTTGTTGCGCTTACCGCAAATTGTTTGCTTCACATCCTGAATTTTAATGTGGTCGCGAGCAGAGTCTGTGTCCGTGTTTTGTGGGTGTTTTGTACCCCGTTGGGCTGCTGCATGGTGTGTGTGTGTGTGTGGTGTGTGTGGTGTGTGTTGCTCGTGTGTGCGCTCTCAAATACAAATTGTTTTGTCAATTGGCTGGTGCCTCTGGCGCTCATTCACTCACATAATTGAAACAATAAAATTTCAACTTGAATAAAGTGTTAATTAGGCGTAAAGCTTCCAGCTTGTAATGTACTGAAGACAAAGTTATAATACGACGCGTTTATGACTCCACAAGATGCTCAGTTCGCAAAGTATCTGCGAGATACGCGAGTGTATCTTAACTCATAACAATTGGTTGTTGCTGCTGTGCTTGTGTGTGGATATAGGTGTATTCATAATTCTGGCTGGCTTTTAATCCCAGCGCGGCCATCAGTTAGCGAAAGCAATAAAAAAGCAACTTGACTTGGTGTTCGCCCCCTTTTTGGACGCGGCTATTGAATCGCAATCCAGATAGATTCGTGCGCCATCTGTATAATCTACCCACCCACCAACCGACCATATGTTGCGCCAGTTCATCCTGCGCCTCTGTCAGTTCCAGATCCAGTCCATGTCTGCGGGAAGGGGGCGTCGCTGCATAAAAAATGCGTAGCGTACGACTCGAAACTTACCCCCTGCGGATTATGATTATAACAAACAATTTATCATAATATTTATGTTGATGCGTTGTACTTTTTCTCAATGAAGGTCTCTCCTGCCTCTCCAGGTTCTTTCAGCTTTCGGCTTTCGGCTTTGTCCGCGGTGTTTATTAATTTTATTTATGATGAGTCATTTGCACATTTATAATTTTAACCTTTACAGTTGAATTCATTCAAAACAAACCGCGACCGAGTGCAAAAAAGTCAATGGAGTCTTCGACTCAATGCATAATAATACCATTCAGGAGATATATAAACACATGTATCCCTGTAGATGAAGCTTAAGTTGAAACCGATTTGTGGCGTATCTTATATATGTTACTAAAGGGGACAGTAAACGATTTTTATGACTTCATTAAATGAAACTAAGGAGAAGATTAGGCTTTCATATTAATAAGCTCAGCAAGTTCAGAGAGTATATGTGTAAAATAGAAGCTGTCAAATAGTATAAAAAATAGATAATCCTATTTGTATTAGAATAAGACATCGATTTGGGAGTGGTATGTACAAATATTGAAACAAATAAAAGGAAACACAACAAATTCATAATAACAAGCAGCCCATAACGCATTTAGTTTAAATCCACTTGCTTGACAGTTAAAACTTGCTTGACAGTTGAAACAAAAAAAAATCATTAAATTAATTGAGGCTCGTCAAATAATTTTTAAGTACTAATTGTCCGTCAATCCACAAAAGGTGATTTCGTTGTTTGTTTTTTTTTTAAAGCACAGTCTGAGAGACAGTCGCCTTTTAAAGGAGCTCCAAATTGGGTTAGGCCTGAGCCACTAAAAAGGTCGCGCAATTAATTGTTACGACTTTATTATGGAGATAAGTGCGCCAAGATACTGCGCCGTCTTGAGGAGTCCAGGGCAAACAAAGGGTTCTAATTGGCAGGCCGCAGGATACGGCCAGGCAGACGTTTACCCCAAAGGGTTCCCCTTTTTTTTGTGCTATTCTCTCGCATCGTGACTTGGAAAAAATCTGTTACGATTAGTTAAGCTCGGAAAAAGTACGCTGGCGGCTGCCCAAAAAGAACAAAGTCGTATTATTTTCTTCTTTTTTTTTTTGCGGCCAGTCCTTATCTGCAAACTGATTTGTCATTATTTTAAAGCACATTCTCACGAAAATTATGAAAAATTAATGTTTATGATACTTCTGCGGCTCGGTTTTCATTGTACTCCGAGAAACACACTTTTTTCAAACTAGCAATTTTATTCCATTCGAAAGCAAAATACTCTCCTTAGCACAAGGCAATTTAAAGAACCTAGCAAATTTAAAATTTGTGGCTAAGATTCATATTGAAATGAATCCTTTCATAATTAATCAAAATTTATTGCCCCAACTGGTAGTTCAGTGTTCACTAAATCACTAAAAAAAAAATGCGAGTTTGGTCAGGATATCTTGGAAATCAAAAAGTAATTTGTACAATAAACATTAGTCCATATATCAGCTGTATGGCTAAAGGTTATCTCAAAACGTTAACAACTCTCAAATAAAGGGAATATGACAACAATTCGATCTGAAATAGAAATGCAAGATTTCAATTGAGTCCTTTTAAAGCAACTGTAATTGCATAACCTCAGATCTGTCGAAA